CCGCACTCCAGTCTGGGCAACAGAGTGAGACTCCAAAAAAAAAAAAAAGATGATATAACATTGATATGTTATGTTTGTCTGTGAATTTATTCCTTTTTCTTCATTAATTTTATAAATTATGATTTTGCAGTCATTTTTGGGGGGAAAGATAGCCATTACAAATGTCTGGAATAGAGAAGAGAGAACTTCCTTTTGAAGACCAGCTGCTGTTCTTTTTTCCCATTAGTTTGCACAGCAGAAAAGCGCTGGCCGCGTGGTGCACATCTGCAATCTCCCTGAAGGAAGCTGCACCGAGAATGATGTCATCAACCTGGGGCTGCCCTTTGGAAAGGTGACTAATTACATCCTCATGAAGTCGACTAACCAGGTAGGTCTAGACACTTTCACTCCAGTGTGTTCCGGATAGACCACACACTGGTGAAAGGGAACTACATAAAGTTTTTTTTAAAGAAGCTGTTCTTAACATAAAGGGGTGATACACAGCTGGCCTTCTGTTGGCATGGCACAAAGGTTTTTGTCGGTGATGTTGTTTTTTCCTCTTGTTTCACCCAACCCATCTTGTGGTGGGTACAGGCCTTTGTGAATTGCAAAGAGATGAGTGGAGGTGCTTTGGAATGAGGTGCTCATTAACATAAAAAAGCTAATTGGCCCCCCAGATAGAAATCTATGGGCTTGATTCTCTTCACTGTGCTGCCAACCCCCTGAGCTAATGCTGTAGTCTATCTTCTAAGCATATTCTGTCTGATGACCTGGATTTGGAGCCAGCCAAGAATCTGGCACTGGGTATATTTTTACTGGTCTTTGGGTCTCACAACAGGAGACTAGGTGAGAATTGATAGGTGCCTGTTAAGTCTAAGCAGCTCAGAATCCTTAACTTATGGGAACTGACTGAGCCCTTGAGGACTGAATATGTTCGTCTTCATTTCTAAAGTTAAAGGGGGAGTTTATACCCCCGATGGTCAGAAATCAGAATATTCTGTCTTTTATTTATTTTTACTGGGCCGATGCATAAGTTCGTAGTGTTTTCCACTTGTCCGTAGGATACAAGTGTTGCTGGATGGTTGACGGGTCACAGTTCATCACATTTGCCAATTCTCAGGTTGACTGACAGGGTTCATCGTGGATTAAAGCGTTTAAACGGTCTTCTCAAATCCCAATGGTCTTTCTGATCGTGAAGAATCACTCAGGTCAAAGTAGTCCTTCTTGAAATGACAAAACCATTTTCTTGCCTTGATGAGATGCCTGATGGCCTTCTCCCGATACGCAACACAAACGTCTCAAGCCACCTCCACTGCCTTTGCTCCTCTGTTAAATTCAAACAGAAGAACATGCCAGAAGTGTTCATTTTTTTTCACTTGATACTCCACTTCTTTAGCCCACAAATGGCACTTTCTTCATGACAAATGATAAACTCTCAACATGGCAGTGTTGCCATGCCAAAAACAAACACTATGAATTTATATATCAACCTAATACTTTTGAGTGTGGGATCTCATTCTGTCACCCAGTGTCACAATCATGGTGGCTCATTGCAGCCTCTAATTCCTGGACTCAGGAGATCCTCCCACCTCAGCCTCCCAAGTAACTGGGACTACAGGCACATGCCACTATACTTGGCTAATTTGGGGTTTTTTTTGTTTGTTTTTTTTTTTCTTGTAGAGACGAGGTCTCACTATATGCCTAGCCTGGTCTTAAACTCCTGGGTCAAACAATCCTTTTGCCTTGGCCTCCCAAAGTGCTGGGATTGCAGGTGTGAGCCACCATGCCTGGCCTGTTTTTTATTTTAACAAATATTTTTATTTTATGAATCAGATGAATGAGCATAGGAGAAATTCACTTCTTAACAAAGGCATTATCTTTGGAGACTCAAAATCATAGCAGATCATCAGTGGTCTCCCTCCATTAACTTGGGGTTAGACTACTCACTGTTAGTCTCTGTTCCTACTTCTCAGAAATTCTATTTTGGGCAAATGTACAGAATTCAGCTTGTAACATTAATGCAGTGAGATTTTCTAGATTTGTATTATTCCCGTTTGACAGGTGACAGCTAGAGGTATTAAAATGTTTATATCAAAAAAGAGGCACTTAGAAAGTTGGGTAGCAGAATTTGAAATAAAACCTGAGGAATCTTGACTTCTTTGTTGCCCACACTTCTACCAAAGCAGAGAAGCTATGAAGAAAAGCCGTGCATCTGAAATTCAGAAGTAAATATGAGAGAAGGAGAGGGAATAGCCTTGTTTAGCCCATTCAGTTAAAGAAAATGAGAGCGTTGGGGTCTCACAGTGAGGGCTTCCCTGTCACAGACCTTTTTTTCCTCTCAGTGGAGAGGAATCTGAATCAGTATATCGTCAGTTTAGTACAAACCAAATAAATCTGAGAAACAGCAGCTACTGGGCTAAAGTGACAGGTCAGTCAAAACAGATTAGTTGGAAACTCTCTGTAGACACAGATTGAATAGAAAAGACCATTTTCCTGTGTTTTTACAGAACAGTTAAATAAATAGGAAAGATTCTGTGAAAACATAATCGGGATTTTCCTTTTTCTTTAACTCACGACATGGCCTTCCTTCAAGCCTAGGGGCTTGTGAGCCTCTGAGTTTTTGAGTATATTTATTTTGTTATAAGGAAAGTGAAAGCTCAGATAACAAAGGTTTTTACCTCTGTCTCTTGCTGTCACCACTATCACCAAATAGCAAGTTTTGTAGGGATCAGCCCAAGGCCACATATGCAACAGCCCCACCACCCTGGAACTATGGGTTAATGGGCTCTCCCATCTCAGAGGGGCTTCCATGGCGTAATGTAGCCCAGGATGAACATACATAATCAAGAATAATGTCTGGTAACCATGGAGATCAGGAGAGGGGCCTTTATTTTTATTTATTTATTTTTTTGAGTTGGAGTCTCACTCTGTCGCCCAGACTGGAGT